CAACGTCATGCATGGGCTGGCGGTTATGATGTGCGAGACCTATAAAGCGTATCTTGCATGGATCATTTGTTGGGTTCAACGTCATGCATGGGCTGCATGGGCTGTATGCGGTTTTCCTCCGCCTCTGGGTGCTCGATGAAGATGGGCTGGGCCGTGGGCTCCTCTGGTATCTGTATCACATGGGAGAAAGAACATTGCCAAGATGAAAACTGGCATGAACTCTCCAACGCTAGAGACTGCGTCATTGGTGTTGTTGGGTTAGCTCGGCTATTTTGTTTTGAGAAGAGATAACGGCCAAGGTTCAAAGTATGATGCTCTCAATATGAAAATCACTTTTTTATTTAATAATTTGACACGTTATTTATCACATCAATTATTCATTCAAACAAGTAAAACCTCATAACTCCCACTATCGAGTATTGGTGACCCTAAAAAACAATAGTGACTATGCAATAATATATTGTAATATTTTTGGCTAAAAACTCATGTCACTTAAATTAAGGGGGTGTTCTATAGTGTGRTCAAGAAATTGTGTGGTATGTCTTAAACCATACTACACCTATGGTGTGGTTGAGATCACACCAATCCCCCTCCCAGTCAGACACGTGGCAACTTCAATTTTCTGGAAAAAAGCATCTAAGAAGTGGGCTGTTCAAATTTTTAAAGAGAAAACCAACCCCTAGACATGTGGCATTGTATAACAGGTACCCTACTTTCATTAACAGTTCTTTACAAATACGTGAGAAGTGGATAGTTTCCATTCTCAATCTATTCCTAAAAAAATGGAGAAAATAAAAAAGTGGTTATTCATACCCACTTCTGCCTACATTCTTCATCTAACCTAACTATCATTTTCCCTCTCAAGTGCATCAAACGGCAATTTTTCATCTCTCAATCTTCATCATCTACAGATTCATCAAAAAAAAAATCTTCATCATCTACAGTGCTGCAACCTTTCTGGATCAGGTTAGTTTAGTTCGTAATTGTGAAATCCAAGCTTGAAGAAAATTCCAGAAGATAGAGAAAATATTTCTCTGTATTACTTCAACTGAACTGTACAAAGTGCATGACTGCTATTTATACAAGAAATGAACCTATACAAAGCTGCCACGTAATGATTCCAGCTCAGCTAACCTACTAACAAACTAACTTGTATAACAGACTAACAGCTAACTAATAGCAGTAACAAACTTGATAATTGTTCAAGAATAAATAATATATATTCTGCACATCCCCCCTCAAGTTGGAGCTTGAGTTTGATGTAAATCAACCAAGCCCAACTTGGAAACAATAGAATGAAACTGAGGACCAGCAAGACTCTTAGTAAAAACATCTGCAAGCTGCAATTTGGTAGAAATGTGCTTAGGAAAAACAAAACCAGCCTTATACTTATCACGAACAAGATGACAATCAATCTCTAGGTGCTTTGTACGTTCGTGGAAGACTAGGTTGGCAGTAATATGTAAAGCTGCCATGTTATCGCACCAAAGAGGGATTGGCAAAGGAGGGCTGACTTGAAAATCCTGCAAAATATAACTAATCCACTGGAGCACACAAACAATAGAAGCAAGGCTTCTATATTCTACCTCAACTGAAGACCTGCTGACGGTGGATTTTTTCTTAATCTTCCAAGAAATGAGAGAAGACCCCAAATATATGCAGTAACCAGTGAGTGACTTGCGGGACTCCTTACATGCAACCTAGTCTGCATCACAAAAGGCTTCAAGGGACAGATTATTATTAGATGAGAAAAACAAACCTCTGGAAAGTGTACCCTTGAGATACTTGAGAACATGAAGTGCTGCTTGCCAATGATCTTGAGTAGGAGAGTGCACATATTGACTAAGCTGTTGGACAGCATAAGATATGTCTGGCCTGGTGAGATTGAGATACAACAATCTACCAACTAACATGCGATATTTCTCTGGTTCATCCAAGTAACTACCAGTACAAGAAAATTTTTGCCCCTTTGGCAATGGTGTAACAACAGGTTTAGCTCCAATAAGGCCTGCATCTTGCAAAATATCTAACACATATTTTTTTTGATTGACATAAGTTCCATCAGAACCCCTTGCAATTTCAAGGCCTAAAAAATATTTAGCATACCCCATGTCTTTAATAGTAAATGTGTCATGAAGAAACTGTTTGACCTTCTTAATCTCAGACYCAWGAGTCCCAATAACAAGAACATCATCTACATACACTAATAAGGTTAAAATTGAAGTAGAAGTCTTCTTGGTGAAGAGACAATGATCATGTGCACTCTGGACAAACCCATAAGCTTGAAGTTTAGCACAAAACTCAACATTCCATTGGCGAGAAACCTGCTTTAAACCATACAAAGACCTTTTTAACAAGCAAACTTCATTTAGCTTAGCTTTAGTATAGCCTGGAGGTGGTAGCATAAAAACTTCTTCATCAAGATAGTCATGTAAAAATGTATTATTTATATCTAATTGATGCAAAGCCCAATTCCTAGAAGTAGCTATAGCCAGGAAGATCCTCACTGTAACAAGTTTTTCTACTGGAGAAAAACTATCCGAGTAAACTACCCCTTCAATCTGATGATACATCTTTGCTACCAACCTTGCTTTGTACCTATCAACAGTAACATCTGGGAGATATTTCACTTTATAAACCCATTTGCATCTGATTGCCTTTCTTTCTGGTGGTAGGCTAACCAATTCCCATGTATGATTAGATTCTAGAGCCTGCAACTCCTTATTCATAGCATCAATCCATTTTTCATTTTTGCTTGCTTGATAATATGAACTAGGTTCAAGAATAGAGGACACATTGACAAGAAATGACATGTATGCATTAGTGAATATAAGTGATTTAGTGTAAGGAAAGGTTGGTGGTGTGTGGGCAGAAAAGTTAGGTGTATAGGCTGTAACAGAAGTTGTAATAGCAGTAGATAAATTTGTAAGAACTAACACATTAGATACATAATCACTCATCCATGCTGGTTTGAATCTTTGTCTAGTACTGTGTCTTATGGTAGGAATAGGAACATTTGAAGAAACATAAACAGGAGAATGATGCAATTCAGGTGAGGAATGAACTGGTGTCAAAGACTATTGAGACTGTAAATCAATGTCAACAGAAGAAGGTTCAAAAGAATAAGGAATATCTTGAACAATGTTCCGATTCAAAGTAGCTGGTGTCAAAGAATTTTGTGGGAAATTAACTGGATCATGGAAAGGAATAGGCAAAGACACTTCACTGCTGTCATCAGTAATATTTGCAAAAGGAAAAAAGTCTCATGAAAAATCACATCACTTGATGTATAAAACTGATGAGAATCTAAATCATAAACTCTATAAGCCTTTTGACCTGTCACAAATCCCACAAACACACACCTATATGCCCTTGTTTCAAATTTATCCTTATGTGGTCTAGTATTAGTAGCATAGAATAAGCACCCAAAGCACTTTAACAAGCTATAATATGGTTTTTGATTATGAAGAAGCTCATAAGGGGTTTTCTAACCTAAGATACTGGTAGACAGCCTATTGATGATGTATACAGCCATCAAAAGTGAATGACCCCAAAATTTTGTAGGCATATGTGACTGAAACATGAGAGCTCTACTTATCTGTAATAGATATTTATGCTTCCTTTCAACAATACCGTTTTGTTGAGGAGTATAAACACAACTCTTTTGATGTAAAATTCTTAACTGAGACAAAAAAATTTGGCACTCTTGACTAGTAAATTCAGATCC